AGTGTCCAGGCGGCGGAAGGGAGAGGCTCCGAGGAGAGGGTGAGTGGACCCAGGCTTCTGGAGCGAGAGTGGCGCCATTCACTAAGGTGGAGATGGGGGCCAAGGAGTGAGTTTGGGGGGGAGCGTGTGTTCAGACCGGAGGCGTGTGGTTTGAGGTGTCTGGGGAACACGGGAACATCTGTTGGAGGTGGTTGGGAGGCAATGGCTAAAATGAAGGGAGTCGTGTGTGACTCCCAAGCTCAACGGGGCAGAAGGGATTTCTCAGGGCACTCAGAGCCAACGGTGCTGAGGAGGCATTTACGGGCTGGGCAGCTTTTCCAGCCTAGTGCGAGACTGGCACTAAATGGCCCAGCTCATGCTTGTCAAGCCAGAGCTCTCCATATGCACAGACAAGCAGGCAACCATATTCCAAGATTCGCTCCTGGGGGTGCATCCAAACCACTCTGTCTCAGATCTCTGGAAGACATGATAGTGCTCAGTGTGGGCTTTGGTTTAACCAGCTTTTCAAACTTTTATGTTAAAGAGATTTAGAAGCCTCTGCTCAAGTGGGAGGACAGAGGCACCTTGCAATGTGCTTTCTGGAATCTACCAAGTTGGAAGTGAGGCGATCATGTAGTTGGGAGGGAAAACATGAACAGGGCCCTGGAGTGGGTTTACCATGATGTTTTGGGGGGGGCCCTGTCCTACTTCCTGAGATGCACAGCATGACCAGCATGCAAGCGGGACTAGAGCCCAGTCACTGGGCTCTACAGTCAGTCGGGTCCCCCTAGCCAGGGTGGGGGGTCGAGAAACAGAGGTGCTGCCATTGGCTGTCCAGCGTGAATTAGCTACTAATACAGGCACGCGTCTCCCTAGCCTGTTTCCCCGCTGGTACAACAGGTATTGTGCTTTCTTCCTTACCAGCACAGATGTGAGAACACCTAGTGGCCAGTCCACCTTATTAGATGCAGGGAGCAAAGCAGTTTCCAGAGGGGTGCTACCTCTGCTGATTTCTCCAAAGAAGGGGTCAAGGCAAGGTGCTCTGGCTGACGGGTGAGTGAAAGATGTGACTTCTTCACCCTTCCACAGCCACGGAGAGGAGGAAATGTCCACTCCTCCTTCCAGGAGAGAATAGCATGGCGGGGGGGGGAACCCTTAGCTTCTCTCTGCACCCCTCCTTGCTCACTCCTGCCAGGCGGCAGAGTGCTTCCATGGGAGTGCGAGAGAACTGCACATGCTCTGCGCTCCCTGCACCGCGCCACCCCCCCCCCCCCCCCCCCCCCCCCCCCCCCCCCCCCCCCAGCGGAGCAGCTAGTCCCAGGCCCTGCTGGGCGCTAACTGCAATTGTCCCCTTCTCCTGGGCAGAGCAGCTCAGTCTTTTTGATTCTGAAGTGAAGCTTTAGCAAGTCCATCTGGCCTCAGGTCTAAAACAGTATTCTCCTTTCAGCCTTATCAGTAAAAAAGCCGGCATTTTTATCTCATTTGACTATCTCCTGGGCCTTATTTCTCAACTCTTCCCAACTTGGGAGGGGAAGAAGGAGTATTTAAAGTTTCTCTAAACTTAAATCCTTTCCAAGGTAGGAACAGGCAATCTCAAGTTATCTGAGGTTTGTGAACTCTTTAAGAGAAACCGCACGTGATAAGGATGCAGGGCCAACTCAAGATCCATTTACTTTGCGCTCGTCTGGAACCTCCAGCGCAGCTCACCGGGGCTGCGGAGTGGCCGTGCGTGCGTCGGCGCTAGGAAACAACCAATGGCTTGTGAGGTCACTTTGCTGACAACACATGTGTAATTATAGGGTCCAACTTGGCACTGTGGGGAGCGGTCCTAGGGGTGAAGAGGTTGCCTCTGGGGGCCCTAGTGCCCTGAGCTGCCCTCACTTCGGTTCCCATCACTTGGGGTTGGTCTGTCCATTTGCTAGTCTGTCTCCCTAGTAAGTCGCCCCATAAGAACTTATTATTATTATTTTTGTACCTGGTAGGTCTCAAGATATGGATGAACAGACAGACGCATAAATAAATGGAAGGAAGGTCAGAGCCTCAGAGGAGGATGCTGCGGTGAGGCGGAGAGGCAGGAGAGCACCTCCTCTCCCCCTCGGCAGCGCCGGCACAGCTGCGGCTGGGGGCTCCGCCGAAGGCCTCTGCCGGCTCCAGGGCACCTGGTCCAGTGTCTCCGCTGAGCCCCCCTGGCTGGCTATGAGGTGCTCCTTGAATGTGAAAACCATCTCAACAGTCTCTGTCCCCGCTGGAAAGCTCAGGTCCTTAAAGAGGGAGACCCACAGAAATGCAAACCCAAGGCCGACTCTTTTGGAGGTTAGCCTGCACCGTCTGCACGAATTCTTGTGCTGGGACACATGTGCTTTAACAGACATATCAAACAGCTGACATCCCTGCTTGTGAGGGAGCCAGAGTGGGCCCTATCCTAGGTGCGGGCACAGTGGCCCTGTCCTAGGTGGGGCCTGGGGCTTCAGTGCTGGATCCTTAAAATGTGGCTAATGATCCCTTCCTCAAAGGGCTAGGGCGCAGGTGACACGTTTCCCAAAAATAGAATGTATACCGTTGGGGGTCACACGAGTCCTTCAGGTGATAATAGGGATGGACACTTCACGAGGTTTTTCTGATATGCCTTAGAGAAGAAAACTGGACTGTACGTCAGACCTGTGATTCTGTCAACGTCACTGCTCAGGATGAGGCTAAAGCTGGTACGGACGTCAGGTCTGAGTCTATTTAAAGAAAAACAGCAAGTAAGAGAATAGCACAGATGGTAGGAGGGTGGGGCAAAAATTTTTGAAGTGAACTCCAAAGACTTTCTCTGAGGAGACAAAGTCCCTAAAACCCCTGCTTGCCAGTAGTAGGCGCTCTAGAAACACCGCCAGTCCCAGTCGGAGGCCCACCCAACGGGGAGAAGTACCGAAGGACACCGAGCAAGGGGGCTGGGGGGAGGGGCAAAGCCAGAAAGAGTTAAAAGGAAGGGGTCTGCGGCTTTCCCTGGCCCATCCCCCCTGTAGCTAATCTGTCACCTAATGAAGAAGCGGCCGGCACCGGCGAGCTAGCTGGCAGTTCACTTACAGCAAACTGATTAAGAATGTTCAACCAACAGCAGACTGTAGACCTTTCCAGAGAAAATAAATAGAGTGTAGACTGTATGCAAATGTGTTTGTCACTTTGACAGCACGTCTCAATTAAGGCATCTCGCGGCTGTGGGTAGGCTCTGCGGCTGCAGCTGTGAGGGAGAGCCCGCTGCATGGCTGATACTTGGGGCTTGACCTTAATCCGCATGCATGCATTAAAAAAAAAAACCCTGCCTTCCTGTACACTTGCATAATGCTGGCAGCCACGTGAGGGAAGTGACAAACGGGAGAAAAAGCCACTTTCATCCTCTCCAGTTTACAGACCTGTGAAGGCACAGACAGTTCTTATTTCAACAGAGTTTGGGGTGGCTTTTTTAATTGTTTATCCCCCACCCGCACACATACACTCTTATTCTGCATTTAGCTGGGAATGACATTAAAGCGTCTCTACTTCTTGCTGAAATGGAAAGAAGGTTTTTCTCCATTTCAAATAGGGCCTCCTTTTTTGTGTTTCAAAAATGGAATGTTTAACACCATGAAATCCCTCTCCCCCGCCCCCTCTTTCTCTGTAATGGGCTTCAAACTCCAGCGAGGGGCTCTTTTCATGGGAAGGTTAGTGTGTGCAGGAATGAGGACAAAGGAAAGCAGGAAGCTGGCTCTAGAATGCCACGCTGGCGACAACGGGGGCTGTGCTTTCAGCAAACACCGCCAGGGAACTGGGGTGCAGATGTCTCCAACGGGGCCTGAGCCCCGGAGGAGGCAGCTCTTCAGGGGTACAAACCCAACAAACACTGTCTGAAGATAAGCATTCAATCGAGTGAGTGCTGCCCCCAAGAACGCCTCTTTCTTGTAGTACATTTCAATTTTTATAACGTCCCTTTTAAGTATAAAACCAGAAAAAGGGGTGAACCCCCCAAGTTTAAGATGTATGAACGTATTATCCGAAAATACTGATTACAGAGGAAGACTCTTACGTGTCCAGCAACTCTCCCCTTACAATAATAACCCAAAGCAACCATGTCATTAATTCTCTTCATTTCTAAATAGTTCGATGCTGGTACACAGTAGGTACTTGGTAAATGTCTGTTAAAAACAGAGCATTTAAAAATGTCCGTTTCTACATCCTCTATGTGACGAAAAAGCAATCATATTTAAGATAAAATAGAAAACGCTATTTTAATCATGCTCCATCTGATAAACGGCTAAAGAATCAAGTGATTTAAAAATACATAACCTTGCGAATTCTTGTCACAGTCCTCTCTTGCTGACAGCCATTTTTCACAAACCAAATAATTATGACTTTTCTCATCAGGAGAGTCAATTCAATAGAAATAGGGGAGAGTGTACCATCTTTCCCAACTAAAAATATAACCACAGCTTGCAAATAGATTTAAACATTCCGTTTCTATACAGAGTACAATGTTTTACTTAAGGGGGAAAAATCAAGCAAATAGACAATTTTTCAAATGCTCAGGTCATCAAAAATAGTTGGCGGAAGGCTCGGGTGTCTAGAACGGCAGCGTGGGTGTTTACTCTGAGAAGCACCACTCCCGATATTGATTTTCAGGAAGTACATTAATAAAGAACTCCTAATTGATTTTTTTTTTAAGGCTTTGCTTGTTGCCTTTTATTTGAAGGTGCAAAGAAGGGCCCGGGATGCTAAAGTGTTCTAATGAGATGCTTAGCTAACGGAGGCACCTTAAATGAAGCGCCTTGGAGTGGGGGAGGTGCATTTAATGACTTCATTCAAGAGCTGTGCTAGTTTACGGGCAGAGCCACGCTGTCTTAAAATTTTTGAGAGTTCACCTTCAAAACACGCTTGTGACCAAATAAACATTCAAAGATGGGCAAAACTCCACGGAGTCATTTTGCCAACGAGAGCTGCAATGAAAAGCCTGTCTGACGTGGTGCTATAGCTTCTGCTGAAAAACTGAAGGCCAGGGTACATACCTGTCCGAAGTGGACTGTGATTGGCCTCCGGTCCTCTCGGAGCTTGGGGTCCTTGGCCTCTACCAGTGGGGACGGCACAGTCTTTGGCAGCTGCTCTTCCGTGGTGGGGGCACAGCCATTCTCAGTGATGTCCTGCAGAGAGAGGCCAGCAGAGGTTGGTGTTGGGGTCGTGGCACCTGCTGCGGGCAGATGCTCCCTCCAGCCCCACGGCCAAGGGGCCTGCCACCCAACACGCCCTCTGGGATGTTCGGAGCCTCTTCTCCTCTGGGCGATGGAGGAAGCAGAAGGGTAACTTGGCTCTTTGACTTTTAAGGATTAGAGAAACCCAAATCATACACGTTAAATATCAAAAGCCACGTAATAATTCATAACAGTGGGGGGAAAGTCTTTTTGTTCTATTACCTTACACAGCTATTTCCATTTTTATATATTCACTTTGTCCACATGCATTTAAAAATTACTTGCAATCACAGCTCATGCATAATTTTACATTCTATTTTTTCCTACTATATTTATTATAAGCATCTCCATGGTGCCAGTCATTTTAATGATAGTTTTAATAGATGCATAATATTTCACTGAGTCGCTATATAATAACTTCATAACCCACTCTACTATTATTGGGCATTTAGGTTATTCCTAGTGTGTGTGTGTGTGTGTGTGTGTGTGTGTGTGTGTGTGTGTTTCTTCCTAAACACCATAGTGATAAACATTGCAGTTTTTCTTTCTTTTGGATTACTTCTTTTATAGAAATCCCTAGGAATAAAATTACTAGGTCAAAAGATATATACATTCTAAGCCTTTTTATTCATTCTCCCAAATTGCTTTCCAATTTACACCAACTACCAACAATGGATGAGTTATCAGTTTCACGGTACTTGTTAGCCTTATCATTTAAAAAAATGTATTGCTAATTTAAGAGGTGCAAAATTAGACCTCATTGTTGTTTTAATTTGCATACTTTGTTATTTGGGAATGTGGACACTTTCTCCACACTTGCTTCCTGACGATGTTACTCTCTGTGAAAATGAGGTGTTCATACTCCATCTTTCTTAGCCTTTATCTTTCCGGCAGAGAATGAGGAGTCCCACGTCTGAGTTAGGATTTTATGACCTGGAGGACATTTAAGGAACCAAAGTAATATTTTTAAATTCAGAAATTTACATTTAACTTGGACTTCTGTTGAATGAAGTCCAAGCATAAAGGAAAGAAAAACCCCAATGTGCAAAAGGCAGGGAATGGTTCCTTTGGTTCTTTGGGACGTGGATGGTGCTGATTTGTGCTACATGGACCATGTGTTTTACTCAAGTCATGAAAGTTGCTTAGATCTTCATTGGAGCAAGGCAGAGAATAAATGTACAAATAAAAAATTTTTTAAAACCATTTAAATAATTAGTTTTTTACTAAATAAAAATAACTCTCAGTCGGAACGATATAATAAAGAAAGGCGCCTGGGTGGCTCAGGTCATGATCTCACAGCTTGTGACTTTGAGCTCAATGTTGGGCTCTGTGCTGACAGCTCAGAGCCTGGAGTCTGCTTTGGGTTCTGTGTCTCTCTCTCTCTGCTCCCCGCCCCCCCGCACTTGCAATTTCTCTCCTCTCTCAAAAATAAATAAGCATAAAAAAATTAGAAAGACAAAGAATGAAATAATAAAGGAAATTTCCAATTCTTTTTCATTGCTAAAACAAAGACATATTTTGGTTAACAAGACACATGCCTTTAGTCCTCATTAAATTCTGTAGAGAAAAGACTTGACAACTGGATGTTTTTAACTTAGCAAAATAAAGAGAATGGTGGCCAATGGAGGAAAGTGGTCTTTTACTGGATAATAATGAATTAAGGAAGAAACACACGCAACACTTGTGAGCCTCAATCTCCTCATCTGTAAAATGGGGATATGGTAGCTAGGAGGAGTAAAGGAGATAAAGCCACATAAGTGTGTCTAGAACATTATCACTCAATAATGTCCTATGTAGAGCACTCAATAATAAAGAAGTACTTACTAATAATAAAGTATAGACTTTATTATAATAAACTCCAGGGATCTATTTATCTATATTCAACCCCACACACTCAGCTGCAGACTCTGGTCCTGTTTGGCGACAGCACAGGGAGGTGATGGCCTCTTGGTTTCACAGGAAGGGCTTGCATTAAGTGGCCCCCAAGTCTTAGCTCAGCTGAGGCTGCGTGATGAGAGGCTGCCGACAGCCAATTAGAAATGGCTCTTTTGGAAAGGGGCTGCCCTAAGGTGCTCAGGTCAAGTGGAACAAAGACTCCATCTGCACCAGAAAGTAACAAAGGGCAAAGGGGGCATTCTGGATCCAGGTAGGGTTACTGAGAAGACCGACACAAAGGTTGGGTAAAGCCAAATAGTAAAGAAAAAGAAGGGGAAAGAAAGAAAAGAAAAGAAAAGAAAAGAAAAGAAAAGAAAAGAAAAGAAAAGGAAAGGAAAGGAAAGGAAAGGAAAGGAAAGGAAAGGAAAGAAAGAAAGAAAGAAAGAAAGAAAGAAAGAAAGAAAGAAAGAAAGAAGGAAAGAAGGAAGGAAGGAAGGAAGGAAGGAAGGAAGGAAGGAAGGAAGGAAAGAAAGAAAGGAAGGAAGGAAGGAAGGAAGGAAGGAAGGAAGGAAGGAAGGAAGGAAGGAAGGAAGGAAGAAAGAAAGAAGAAATAAGTAAATCAACTTTCAGTTCAGGAAAGATACTGCACGTGTGTGAGAGTGACTGGCTAAAAGAAATAAATGGAGCAGTAAGGTTACGTGGTAATAAAATATTGATAGTAATACAATTACAAGATGATAGCCTTTAAAAAAAAATGTATGTGGTAGTTTGGGGGAAAAGTGTTTTAGTTTAAGCCTGAAGGTAAGCACTATCTTCTAGTTTTGTTTTTACCATTAACTAGCTGATCTTTCCCACTTTTTGGTAACTATTCATTTGTACAACGGGGAGACCACCACCCCCTTGGTGAACTTCAAAGCTATGGGAAGAATGAATGAAAGGAGATAGAACACGAGGGAGCCTGAAAAATGTTACAGTCCTGTGCAAACCGAACGTTCCATATGTATCTGGCAAAATGGAAAGAGCACCATCTAAGCAGCGCTTCCCCTCACTGTGTGGGGCACCCACAATGGCAGGCACTTTCCCAGACCCTTGACCTTCACTATCACACTTAGTTTCCACAGCAACCATGAGGTAAACAGGGGGATGGCTCTTTTACAGGTGAGGAAACAAGGCTCAAAGAGGGCAACTTACCCAAAGCCACGCAAGCTAGAGAGTGGAGGAACCAAGAACAACACGATTTCTGGCACTTACACCACTATCAACGCATAACAGCGGCACACATGAAGGCATCCTGAGCTGAGGAGGTGCTCGTGAGGTGTGATCTCCTCGGGAAATCCCTTCTGTTAACACTGACCCTATGCTGCCACATCTCATGGGCCCTCTGCACTTATCTGCTTATCCCTAAAGAGTTTTGGGTTCTCTGCCCCAGAGCCTGGAATATATAGTACACGCTCTCCAATACATCTTTGTAAATCGAGTTGAACATTTGGAAGGCAAATGTGTCCAATATCCAAATGTGCTTGTGCATCAAAAAACAGTGCTGCACATTCATTTTCTTCGTGCGTAAGGCTTCTCACAAAATCCCGTGCCTTGCCCCGCTAACTTATTAACTTCTTCACTCTTTCCCGCAGCTAGGAAGGACACCTCACTGCTTCCCCCCAGGGAGAGCAGAGCAGGGAGGGGCCCTGCTGAAGAAAGAAATCCGGCCAACTCACATTCTCTGTTGTACCTACTGGCAGAGATCTTGCACACAGTAGAGATCTGTGATTAAAGACATTGTGGTCTAAGAAATAACCGAGAAGCTGTCTGCAGAGGGTTTGGGAAAATAGGCACTCTCATACCCTTCTGGAGGGAATACAAATTGGCAATTTATATCAAACCCCTAAAAGAGGTGCATGCCCTTTGACCCATTAATTACATTCCTAGAAATTTAACCTAATGAAATAATTGAGAATTCCTGAAATGTTTTACCTATGAGAATACCTGCCTAGAAAAAACTGGAACTAACTTTTAAGTATCCAGCAAAGGGGCTGATTAATGTATATATGCCCATCAGATAAAATTTTCTGTAGCCACTCAAAACAAGGATGTGCGGAAGAGACATTTAGTGGTCTGGGATATGCTCAGAATATAGTAAGTGAAAATGTAGGTTATAAAACAAGATCATTTTCTTTTTGCCTGTCTGATTTGTTGAATTGTCTCCAATAAACATGCTTTTTTGTTTGTAAACAGAAGGGAAAAAAAAGACTACGGAAATGTCATTTTGAAAAAGCAAAACCAAGAAGCTGACAGGAAGGGTAAATCTGTTCCTTCCTTCCCGAAGGGTCACAGGGGAGGGAGGCACTAGATAGAGCTGTGGATTTTGGGGGTCACCATAGGGGGGCAAATCTCTTACCAGGAGCTCTCGGGGCCCTACCAGTTCCCATCTCTTGGTAAAGCAAAGGAGTCAGAAAATAATTCAATTCCCCCATCACCTTCCCTAAGAGTTGGCTGGAATCAAAAATCATGACTGGGGTCTAACTACCCTGTCTGTGGAGAAGGCAGGGAGAGCGTACAGTAAGTCACTGGACAGAGGACCTCTGAGAAGGCAGAAGGCAGAAACCAAAGGGAGGCGGGGGGCTGAGTGGCCCTGGGTACAAGCTAGGGAGGGGGCTGGACACAGAAGGAGCTGAGGATAGGACTTCATGACCCAGACCCCCTGGCTGAGGTAGAGGAAGGTTTGAAAAGTCTGAAAGGTTTTAATCAAGAGAGTGACTCAGAGCTGTGTCCTAGAAAAATTGCTCTGGTGGCTGTGTGGATGACCAAACGGGAGGTGACCCCATGCCGGCCACGCTCTCAGGGTATGTATACGTGGGTGTCTGGGCCGATCGGCTGCTCTGGATGTGGGACATGAGGAAATGAACAGAATGAAAATTCCCACTTAATGAATGGTTACTAAGTGCTGCTGTTTAAAGCCGTTATCTCTTCTAATCCTTACAACAACCAAGTAAAAGTGGATCCTTCTCCTGGTTACAGATGAGAAAAAACTAGGTTCAGAGAGGTCTAGTAACTTACTCAAGGTCACACAGTTAAATCCTACCCAACCAGCTTATCTACCTCAGAAGCTCAACTACCACACCATGGTGTCAGGGGTTTAAAGGGTGTGAGGCAGAGCCCTTAACATCTGTGACTCAAGTCTCCATTTTCAGATTTGTGCAGTGCCCTTCTTTTCCAGTCTACTTCACACCACAGCAGATGCAAATTAAAATATGAATATTGATATCGAAACAATATCCGAAGTTGGAATTTCTGTGATTGAGGCTGTGGCATATTTTAATGTGCTGGAGACAGGTGGCTGACAGTTGTGTGATAAGGTGTGAAAATGTCTGTTCTACGAGAGTCTACCTAGATCTCCCTGCCCCACACGCGCTTACTCCCTTCAATTCACTAGGAAATGTTTGGCCGGAAGCTCGAGGCCTTGCTAGCCCAACTGTGAATTTGCTCCTTTCCATCAAAAGCTCTTTATCAACAAGCGCGATTTATGTTTCTAAGATCAAAGATTTAAAACTTTATAAAGGGCTGCGAAATGGGCCCAGTTGATTCAATCGATCTAATACTCAAGAAAAAAAGATAATTACTCAGGGGTTTCCCAAGGAGATGACAAAATGACATTCTGACGTGAATAACTTAATGTTCCTTGCAGGTGAGAAGGAACATGAGTGTGACCACTGTTTTTCACACAGGGCACTCTGACGCCCCCCTTGCATGTGCTGTAGGAGGAGAGTGTAATCTGATGACAGTCACAAGCCCAGCCACCCGGCAGGAGGAAAGCACTACACCCTCCGTTTACAAAGTGACAGCCGGGAAGCATCTTGGCCATTTCTTCTTCTTCCTAATTTTGAGCAAGTCAGACTTCAAAGGAGGCCAGGCTACAGAAGAACTTGACCACCTTGCTGCATTTATCCAGAGAAACACGTTATCCATCGTTCCTTTTTTTGTTGTTGTTGGGCGAAAGTGGAGCAGGTACGGAATAAAGCCACACTATAGTATCTATTAACGATTATTTGCCAATGGTCACACGGATACCCTGAAAGCTCCTCTTTCAGATGCTTTGAAAATCTGCTGCACAAATGAACAAGGGATGGAAAGGGGCCCTGCGCAGTCATATTAGAGATGGACCCTCCACACACACCATGGTGACCTCTCCACAGGTCGGCCCCACATTTTCTATTTGCAATTCAAACCCAAGGCGAGAGCGCAGAGGGCAAGATTGGGTTCTTGATTATATCTGCGAGGTCACCATCACTATGCAGACTTAGAGGAGGCCAGGTGGCAACCCAGTACATTTGAAAATTGGATCTTTGTTGGGAACTGCCTCAATTTCATAGCAGAAACCAAACTTGAGATGTCTGTATTAGACGCATCTGGGGAGCCACACGGATATGGTGCTGTGTGAAGGGGGGAGGGGAACAAAAAAGCCAAGGAAATATTTTCTACCGCAGTGAGAGAGGTCAGATGGAGCCAAATCCTAAATTAGCTCAAGAAAGGGAGCAGGAGAGCACGTTGCTGAAGACCAAGTCCTGTCTGCACTGAACAATGCTAGAGTTTCAATTACAAAATAGCTCTTCCAAGAACAACTGCAAAATATCAAGCCTGTAGAAATCTGTAAGACCGAAGGGGGGAAAAGTGAAAATTGAAAAAGGTGCACTAATAGATCTGTCAACAGTCCGATGGTGACAAGCCACATTTCTATAAAATGCCTTCACCATTTGTGTCACCTGAAATGTACTGACACTTTCTATAGAGCATTATCTCCTGAAGCTATTCTTGAAAAGACTGGCAGGGGGAAGGGGAGAAGGGGAGGGAAAAATCTGCGTTAGATACTATCAAGGAGAGGAAGGGGAGGTGGCATGGAAGGAGAGCGATCTAGATTGTTTAAGTGAACCTTTGAACAACAACATCACAAAACCGGAGCGGGACCGGTTATTCGCAGAAATGTTACGTATCATAAAAAGGGGATTTTCGGAAAGCCCAGCCCTTCCTCATACCAGGAGGGAGGCGACGGCCTGCAGAGAGCAGATCCAACCAATAAGGAACATCTGTCCAATGCCTGAGGAGGGATCCCTTTCTTTACTTACTTCCAGTAGTATTCTAACACCAGCTGAGCCTCCATCAGATCATCAAGGAGGGAAAATTTGGTGAGAGAACTCCCCCCTCCCTGCCACTCTGTAGTTTATCCCACTCACTTACATGTGGCTGGGATAGGAGATAAAAAAAGTACCTATAGGACTTAACATCCAAGGATTCCACCTGCCAGCCTTTGGCAGGGCGCAGCAGACCACAGTTCAGGTCTATCTGGATTTACATGACAGGATTTTTATTTCGGGGCTTGAATCTCGGCCGTTAAAAATTCACTCTCAGCTGAAACTAGGAATTTAAATGCTTAGTCGGAACAAATTATTTTGCAATTAAAAGAAAGGAATCAATTCCTTTGACCATTGCAAGTTAATGAGAGGTCCTTTCTGACTTCATAAAATTCAAACTGCTTTCAATTTTTTAAAAACTGCCGAGACAGACAAAGGCCCTTGCTGGAGCTGCACATCCAGGGGGGTGCGGGGGGTGGGGGGTGGAGGGATGTGTGTGGGATAACAAAGTTAAATGCTCCTAAACATCTTTTGGAAAAGCAAACACTTGTTTTAGAAGGGCAGGAAGAAATGCTGTTGTCGTAAAAACACAGATGCTGGAAATGGATGGGTCTGGAACCTGATCTGGTTCTGGTTCTGGAACAGAACCTGGTTCTGTAGGCTCCGACAGTGAGACCTTGGGCAAATTCCTTCACCACCAAACCACGGTCTCGTCTCCTGACTCACGAAATAGGAATAATACCCCCCGGGGTTGTTCTAAGGCTTAAACGTCAAAGCCCCCAGCCCCGACATTCTTTAGGAAGTGGTTACTGAAGGGTGACAACAGTAATAACGATGACATTCATCATAATATAAAAATGCCCTCTGCTGTGTTAACCTCCCTGTGCAAGGCTAGAGGATCAGGCGGGGGACTTTGGCTGGCATGTAGCCTGTAGGATTTCATGTCATTTTACTGATGGTCCAAGAAGATAATCAGAGTCCCCTCCCTGTCGCCCAAGAGTCTGAAATGGGAACTGCTGGGCTCCTCCTGGTGAACCCACCACTGTGAGGAGAGCTCGCGGCGTCCTCCTGAAACCCTCCGTTTGTGCCTTGTGTCTGCATGGTGGTCGCGTGCCTGCCGGGACCACGGCGGTCATTTCCCTGGAGATGCTTCTGGGCTTCGGTTACAAGCAGCCCCAGGGCAGAGGTCAGCTGCGAGAGGGAGTGGTGCCCAGATGGGGAAGCTGAGCCGATTTTGAAAGAGGCCGGTGAACCCTAGGCCTGGTGGGGTGGGCAAGGGGCAGACCGGCAGCGGTGACTGTGAACTTGCTTGCCTTTGTGGGTTTAAGGCAATCTTAATGTTATTTGAAGACAGTTTTTTGTCTGTGAATATTTATAACAGTGTGAAAACTCCCGGACAGCTGGTAATGCATTTTGAAGTGTGCTAACAACACTGTATCAAACAGCCCTCTATTGATCGCATCATACTTTTTTGTGGCCACGCATTTCATACACGGTGCTTATACATTTTGAATAAGAACTTCAAGTACCTTTTGCTTCAAGCGGTTTTTCACCTCTTTTATTCCCATTTTTGCATGATCTTTTGCCTGCATGAAAAATTAATTTAAGTTAAGATTCCCTCTCTGTTTCCAGCAGGGACTATGCTTGATTTCAATCCGTCGCGAATCACCTTCTCTGATTACTAGAAAAAGGAAGGAAAAATGGGATCATCAAGTCGAAAACATAATGGCTATGAAAACAAATACAATGTTGAGAGGTTAAAAAAAATCCCTTAAAGAGTCTACAGAGATTTTATTTTCTGCATTTTGATGGCACTGGTGTCCCCCCACCCCTTCCGAAGCCCTTCTTCTGCTCTCTATAATTATTTATCTCAGCAGCCAGGCGATAGCCACCACTAACTGTGGAGCAGCAGTTTTTGAGGCTGCTAGAATCTGAATATCTATTACATTTCACCAGGGCAGAACCTCAGGACCAATTTTCTGCCTGAGCTGAATGGCCTGAGCAGACACGTTGCCGGGTTCCCCTAGTGCCGTTGCTCAAATCTCATTTCGGCACACACCCTGGCTTTTATTTTCTGTCATTTCAGACCTGTGTGGTTCTTTTGGCAGGCCACCCGCCCGGTTAAAATAACTACAGTTGAAGCACAGAAAGGACTAACAAAATTAAAAATGGAAATAAAACAAAACCACCCCAGTTAAGTGGCTCACAGTCAAATTAGCAAGCAAGAGAAACCATGAGGAAGAAAAAAATACTTGAGGCTTGTAAAAGATGGCACATCGGATCGGGAACTGACGTGTTCTCCTACTTTCTCTCTGCTGTGGGCATGAGTTTCACAAACAATGCACGTCCTATAGGGCAGTGGCGAGAGAGATGATGAAGAATTTGGGACGAAAATCAGGGAGTGTGTCCCACCATGAACAGTCTTCAGTAACCAGCAAAGGGGCTGCTTTATTTTGACGTGGGATGCAATGGGGATACTCATAGGAACCATAACACCCCACAGACCACACCTCTAGGTCTGAAGGTCACTGGCATGGAGCGGTCAGCATTTTAGCCACCCCAGTCTACATTTTATTAAAAGCTAAAACCAGTAGCTTCCCATTTCTTAATGGCAGCAACTATGAGCAGAGACAGTTTCAATGAAAAACATCACTGACCTGGTCACAAAATATCAACACTACATTATTCTAAGGGAGGTTTAGGAAGGTTTAGGAAGCAGCAGCCCCCTAAATCACCCTGGCAAGATAGGGTCAGGTGTATTTAAGGGTTTTGTCATGCTAAGCGACAGATCTGTTCGGATCCTGAGTCCAAGACCAGTACTCACAAACTTATAGACAGTCTTCATAGCTGGGTTTGCTTTTGTTTTTACGGTATTCAGAATCGCTCCGCTTCCTTTCTATAATAAAAACATCAATTAGCAATTGGGACTGAAGAGAACAGTAGGCCAACACCAACAGAAACCTCTTCCCTTTGAACAAGTTAAGCAACATTCCAAGAGTGTGTAATTTAATTAGAGAAACAGGCCTAGATGGTAACTGGTCCTGGGCAATTAGTTACAGCCGTGGTAGAATCGCTATGGGTGGGTACTGGGGGAGCAGGGTGGGGATGAAGACATTGATAACTAGATACAGGACGACTAAGGATTTTGCTTGGCACCCGTCTGCTGGCTGGAAAAAAAGCTCTTCCCAGGCTCTCTGTGGCAAAGTTTCCCCATAGTAATCTATGGCTTCTCAGGAAATTCTAATTTATTTGGCTACCTTGAGTCATGTGCCTTCCTTTCCTCACCTTGGTTTTCTGTGTTGTTATTTTTAATCACTCTGGCAGGCTGCCTCCCTTAACATCGATATCTTGAGAAAAGGAAAGAATGAGTAGCCATCAACATTAATCATGGCCTTCACACACGTCCAACATACCAATTTCTTGGTTCAGGTTCTCTGGGAGAGCAGGGAGAAGAGGAGGAAGGATGGCTTTCCCAGGACACAAAGGAGGCACCGAGGGATATGGAGTGCACAGGTGATTGTGAGTGCTCACTGCGGAGACACGCTGTGTTAGCCTTGCGGGAGATGGAGTCACGGGAAGGCTGGCCTTAGCCTTCAAGGACCATGAGGCTGGGGGACACGTCAGGGTATATAGCTGCCACTGAAGGTCATGACAGCTCTACTGGCTGTGTGCGCAAGGCGTGTGGAGGCAGCTCATAGTCTATAGGGTCAGAGAAGGAGCTAGAGGATGAAACGTTTGGTCTGGTCCATGAGGGATGATGAGGAGTTCATGTAGGGGGATAGGAAGGGCAAGGGCATTCGAGGGATAGGGAAGAGCACGTTAAAAAAAGTGCAGAAGCTGAAAAGCCATGTGCTCCTAATAACTGGTCAGTGTATCATGGTAGGAATGGCAAGTGGGGCTGAGGCCAGCTGGGGTCCGCTCGTGAAGGGCCAGGATATGGAACCTATGCTCTGGAGGATTTTTAATCAAATGCATCACATAATCTTGAGTTGTGCTGGTTTGAAAGATAATTCTAACTGATTCACACAAAAAGAGAGAGACTGGATCAAGTGGGCATATGAAAGAATAAGATATAGTCATGTAATTATTAGGATTAACGCTTAGCACAATTTTTGGTAACAGTCCATATTAGAAGTTTTGAGCTTTAATGAAAAAACATGGCAATTTGACCTAGAAAGCGTTCTGTGTCATAGGACAATATGAAATTTTGACCTACTCATTTATTCCATACTGCTTTCCAAAATGACTCAGGATCCTATTTCAGTGGTCCTTTGGAATATTAAAACTCCTTTTATCAATCAATCAACAAGTCCTTATTGCTGGTCTATGATTTGCCAAGTGCAGTGTTTGGCCATCCAAGAACAAAAGAGGCCTTTCATTGAGGAATTCCTTACTCTCGGCCAAATGCAGCCACTTCCAAGGGACCTGACTCGGCAGCGGTGCACTCGGCCCACGAGCAGAAAAGAACACTTATCGCATTATGTTGGAGTTGCCTGTTTACGCCTCTCCAGGAAGACAGGAAGGCCCCCAGGGCAGGGCCGGTGTCTTCCTGCTCCCCACTGTACCCCCAGCCTGGCATCTGGTACACAGGAGGCCTTCAGCACACGGCACACTGATAAACCCGTGCGAAGACAAGAAGTTGAATTCTTTAGTGGCTTCTGAAGACCGAAGCACCTGGCTTCCAACACAGCCAGAAACTGCTCACAACCACAGCGAGGGGATAAGTGAGAATCCCAGTGATACATTCTCCACCCTCCTAGGAGCCTCTTGCCTTTGCTGTGAAAAAAATTGCAAAGGCAAGAGGGACGCATTTTTGGTTTTCCCATGAAAATCTCCCAATCGTGCTGGTCTGGAAGGAGATGCCCCAGAAATGCTCTAGAATGACAAGCCACTCAACACCCCTGGGCCAGCTTCGTGAGACGAGGAAGCTTCTCCTGGCTCTCCTTGCCTGCACGGAAGGACACTTCGGACTGTCTATTCCTGCAAGCCTCCACCTGGCACTAGATGGCCTGGCTTTACAAGCAGAAGCATCTTCGACTGAAAGAGTGGAGGGCCCCAGGCTGGATGACCACCTTGTGTGTGGCAGGGGAGGCGGAGGGTGGCCAGGAGGCTCAGAAGGGGCCCCGGTAGTTCTGAGGGGGTGCACACTTACCCGGACTGTGGAGAGCCACTGATGGTAGAGTTTATCACTGCCTGGGGAAAGAGGAATCAGAGAAGGTGTTAACGTTCCATGTCCTCAGGAGTTCCTCCAATTGTTTACAGCAAATAGAACTCGGAAAGTTCAAAATACAGAGAATCAGGTGAGGCTTCCATGCTCTATACTCCCTGCAGGAGGCAGCAGTGAGTTGCTGCCACAAGTTTTCTTTCTCAAGAGTGAGTTTTGATCCTATTAGTGCCCTGAGGGCCAACCCAAATCCTCCTTCCCCTCTGCATACTAGATAGAGGTCTGGTCCAACCCCTTAGCAACCCTGACTGTCTTCTCTGGTCTTGTCTGGGCCCTTTCCACATTCAGCCTTTCCGTCCCCTTCCATTTGCCCCCATCCTCCATTCCCTCACAAATGCTGTTCGCCTTGCTGGCCGCCATTCCCTGCTCTCTCTGCTGAGAGAGAGAAACGGGCTCAGATGTCATTTCCTCGGTAAACTTCTCCCACCCCTTCTTCTGATCAGCCCTCTAAAACAGGTAACACCCACTCAGAAGTCCACATTCCCCAAAGTTCTGTGAGCCACCCCAGGGCAGGAACCACAGGGCTGTGTGTCCCCACACTGCTGGGTACACACTCAGCCCTCAATACACCTGGGTAGTGACAGGGAAAGGAAAGGGAGGCGATGTTGGGAAATTTATTCATTTTATCTGGTGGGATAAGGAGGTCTGATCACTGGACAGCTTTTCTAGAAGCCCCGAATGACTTTAGTTTAACAACACAGAAAGCCCGTCTTCTCTTCGGAATTCATATTCAACTCTGAGAGCGCTGTCTCCTTTGTGAAGCTCTCACGTTACAGAGGGAGGGTTAGTGGAGTCCTAGGCCAATGGCATGAAAGCCTATTTTTGCTCTTTTTCTCCTGCACTGGTTTAATCTGTGTTTGTCTTTAGTTAAGCATCTCTTCCTCCTCCTCCCAGTAAAACCTCCTTGAGGGCAAACCTGGGTCCTCAGGTTCTTACTCCATGGGGCTCTGGACATGGTGGGAGTTCAGGAAATGCCTATCACTGACCGTGATCACTGTCCACAGACTGGTGTTATTGGTTACTCGTGCTCCCCGTGCAGCCCTGGCTGGTCAGGCCTCTAAACGGGGTTTTGTAGGTGAGATTCTGCCTGACCCTAAGAGTTGGATTATAAGCTCAGTCCAGACCAGACACATGCCCAGCAATGTGGGGGCTGACAGCATGATTATTATGATTTTGCACCTGGTTTGGGCTTCGCTGCCAAAGACTAAGGCTTTGGGACTTGCAAAGAAGGCCAGGTTGGGATTTAAGAGGCGCTAACACCAGGTCTGTGGCGACTGGGCATTCTGAGATGACTGTCACCTTTTAAAGAAACACTCATTTAGCAGTGATCCTGTGCTAGCGTCCCGTCCCGATGGCCGCACAAGCCTTTCCTCATGGACTCGGAGTTAATCTCCACAGGACTCCTGTGAGGTGGCGCCATTCTCCTCAGTGCACAGACGGGGAGGCTTCAGCTGAAGAGGTGACATGGCCTGACCGAGTTCTCACCACGTTACTGGAGGCGGGGCCCTGATTTGAAGCCAGCTCTCGTAACTCGACATCTTGAGTGCTTTGTGCTGTAGCATGCTGGCCACTACGCTTAACTAGACTTTGGCCACCCGGGGGAAGCAAGTGACCCCAGGACAGAAGATCTCAGACAGGCCAAGGTACCTCTGTCCCGTCAGAAAATGAAGAGGAATTCCTTAAACACTTCAAGGGTGAAATCAGTCTCTCCCCGACCCCCACTAAGGAAATCAGAAGCTGATGCCCCTCCTTGCCACGTACACCCTAGCCCCACGTAACAGCCCACAGCACAGAAAGGAAGAGGAAGTGCTTTCTCACCAGCATACTCGCCCATGCTGATCTCTTCTTCAAAAACGTCACTGAAACCCTCGCCAGAATTGAGAAGGTCCAGTCTACCATCAATAAACTATAAAGAGAGAACAAAAGCAGAACAGTTTACGCAAAGAGACAGAGGGAGGACCATCCGGCTGGGCACCTGAGGGCACAACTGAAGAACCACTATGTTTCCCAAGATAGGAAAGGGCCTTTGGAACCGTGAGGGGTTTTCTTTTTTTTTTTTTTAAACGAGTTTTCAAAACACTGGCTGCGTGTTTATGATAACTTGTGAATTTGAATGACGTATTTGTGAAGGGTCTGCTTGGTCGCTGACCACCCTCTGCACCTACCGCCCTCCCCAGACCCGGAGCCCCTTCAGGCTGGGCCTGGGTCCCATCTTGCCTGCAGCCTCAGTCCATCCAGTATGACAGCCGCAGAGGGCCCCATCAGGGGTCCAGACACAGGCCACCTGGCGGGGGTGGGGGGGCCGGGTACCTGTTTGAAGAGCTGTAGCTGGATGGCATTCTGTAGAAACTGCCTCATGGCTCCCGAGCGATAATGGGACACAAAGGCTTCTTCACAGAAGGTGATTGGCTCTTCCTGGAAAATGGAGATGGGAGAGGAGGGTTGGAGGCACGGGGTGAAGGTGGTTAGTTCTTAAACTTGGCTACATGGCGCTTCTCCATCTGCTAATTTATTTAGTCCTTGTTTTCCTGAAGTGGCTATTGTCATTGAAGGCATTCTATTCTGTGGAAGAGGAGGTGGTTTCAGAGAGGAAAAGCCACCCCCCAAAGTCCCAGAGCTGGTGGAAGGCAAAGCTTCTGAACCCCATCCCCGGCCCCTTCTGCACAAGCCAATCACGTCCCAACAGTAAGTTAGTGGGATGTGTCCTCCGATGTGATTAACTTCCAAGTTTTTCTTTTCACTCTGAAGAGAATCTTTTCTTCGGGGAGCACCTTGTGCAGACGTAGCCCTTATGATCAAACTGCCCAGCTGCTCTTTGGGAAGCCAGGGGCCGGGGTGGTGGCTGGGCTCTCCTTGCTGGGCCTCCTCCCTCACCCCAGTACCTTTGCAGTCCTTGAGGCACCGGCCATGGAACAAAGCTTGAAAACCAGTTACACAGTGATCTCAACTATTAGCAAATTATAAATTTAAAATATTTACTTATTTATGTTGAAAATGCTTGTGTGTGTATGTGTGTGTGTGTGAAAGAGAAAGAAAGAGAGAGAGAGAGAGAGAGAGAGAGAGAATATCCCAAGCACATTCCATGCTCAGCACGGAGCCAGATGTAGGGCTCCATCTCATGACCTCAAGATCATCACCGGAGCAGAAACCAAGAGTTGGATGCTCAACCAACTGAGCCGCCCAGGCGCCCCTAAAATAATTGTTTATATTAAAAAGCAGGGATGATCAAAAATATTTACCATCCAGTCAACTGTGTGCTTACAACGTTTGATGAGGAAGGTAGGCTTTACCCAAACTACACTTTATGAGAGAAGAAAATAACACCCTAAGTGGAAGACACAGCCCATCCTTGTAGCCCACACCTCGATCCTTCTTTGAAGGTATCTGGAGTGCTAATCTACCCAGACAAGTCTTTAATTCCAGTGGTGGATCCTCAATTCTGAAAGACCAGACTTTTATACCTTGAACTGAATTAAAGGTATACCTCCCCTCACAGACTTGGCTGCAAACACAGAGAGGTTTGAAGCTGCACTTTTATCCTGTTTTAATTAGTTGTGTTGAGTGTTAAATTTACTGTCTGGTGGCTGTAAATTCTAAGGGTCCCTCCTGCTTCAGTCTAGCCAATATTAGCTCAGGAATGGGGCAGACAATTCTACAAAAGCTGCAAAGGTGACCCCAAAAAATTAGGGTGGGGGACTGCTTAGTTTCATATAGTTAAACCCCACCGAATTTTACAAAGGATCGGAGGCAGCCTATGCAAGCATCTGAAACCAAGAAAAAGACCAGAGCTGAAGAATATGTAAATATATAAAATGGGTTTACTTGGGAAAAGAGTATCTGGATATGTACATTCTGTACACATGGCTCCTAAAACAAACTTACAAAATTAGCTCAGAGCTTCCTGGCTTCAAAAGCAAGAAGGGAAACGTGTAGACTTTACTTTGTCCATGAGGACAAAAAGCAATAGTGGACCCTCAGGAAAAAGAGCTTTTCATGATGCTTATTACTGTGACAGGTATTTATTTACACCTTCCTTGCTGAACAGCCGAGACGAGCCAGTGATAACAAAGGCACACCTAATATCCCGTCCTCATGACCTGCGAGTTCTGCTTCCCATCCTGGGAACCACAGCAGGGTGATGAAGTCCGTCTCCAGGCCATCTCATCCATAAGGAGTGTTACCCATACATGGATGACTCCTGATAATATTGTAGCTCAGCGTCCTTTGCTCTCAAACCATATATGTTTCCATCCCCATTTGGATGGTCCTTCAGCACCTTAAACTCAAAATGGCCAAAACTCCCAATTATTATCGCACCCGGACTGTACCCCAAATCTGTTTCTTTCTTGAATTGGCATTACCCACAGCTACCCATGAACCTATCACACTGCCCACATCCTCCTTGGTTTGCCGGGGAAAGGTCTCAAGTTGGTCCTGGCTCGCCATCACTGCCTGGTGTAGGCCTGCTCACCACGGTAGAGACGGAATTCTATGTCCCCTCCCGTCTATTCCAGTTCCTCAGGATTTCTAAGACGCATGTTAGATCACGCTTCTATCCTGCTCAGGAGCTGTGACTGCAGAGGTGTTAAACTGTGTGGTGATTTGATTGATGTTCACTTCCTCCGCTAGACTGTAAGCTTCATGCGGGCAAGATTGGCACCTGTTTCACTCAACCTGGCACACCTAGCAGCATGGGAGTCACGGGCACAGGGTCCGTGTTGCAGAGGAGAGAAACAGTCCTAGCTCCTTAGCTGGGCAAATACGCCCTTCCTAAGCTGAGCCCAGCTTTCTTTTACAGAGTCCTTTTGTGCCCCTTTTCCTCCACCCCTCCTCCTCCCTCCACCGCCCAGGTACCTTCTGCTCTAAATGCATCTCCTGATCACATGCCATGTCCTTTTCCACTTGCTTCCTTGCATTTGCTAATTCTGTTCCATGCACCTGGACTCTCTTCCTCTTAAACACAGGCCTCTGTATGGCAGTCACTCACCTCTGCTCAGTGCTCCCACCCTGCCTGGCATATTCCCTGGGTGCAGAGTAATCTTCATTGGTGTCCCCTGTGACCCAGAGCTAAAGAGGGCAGAGGCCCTGCTGGACTTGTGGCTATACTGCCCGAAGGCAGTACAGAGCCCCTCCCCCCCCGCCCCGCCCCTGCCACTGTTAGAAGCTCAGGGATGTTGGTTAAAGAACCACCCGATGAGCCTGACCCTGGTTCCTGCCACAGGAGCCCTGTGGCCTCGGTGTGGCTGAGACACCACTTGGCCTGATGGTAAAGAGGTCTCCGAGCACGATGCCAGGTGATTGACACTGGTGTCCAGGGAGTTTAGAGTTCCTTGGAGGAAACGCTCATTGGAGCTGTTAGCATTCGCTCCTAGAGCTGCAGCCCGGTACTGCCGGGAAGTGGTCTGCTGAGGGACCAATAAATTCGAGAGAGAGTTTGCAGCCAGATTTGTAAGTAAGGGTGGCCTGAGGCAGAATTTAGCTGTAGGAGAGCAGAAAGAATCTCGGCTTTGGGGAGACATTAACACTTTGCACCTGTTGTCTACTCACTGGAGGTGACATCCCCCCCCCCGGGATAAGATGTCTACGGCACAAACATGGACAAAAGGACACGGGCAATGATGGGAAAGATTCAGGGGAAACGTGACAACGGGGCTCCTTCTGCACAACGCTTAGAGACCATCATCGGCAGTGGCAGGCCCGGGAACAAGTGCTTGCACACAGTGTAGTGCTACTAGGGGGGTGGGGGGGTGTCCACAGCAGCCAGGAGGCGAAAAGGCTAACCCTCCCAGGGCAGCAGGCCAGAAACCAGGCGAGGAAGGGGGCATTTCGGCGGAGCCTGAGAGCATGAACAGAAGTTACGTAAGCAAATCCCATCTGTGCAGGGCAACTGTTTTATCCTAATCCTGGTGAAAAACAGTGACACTGTCACCCCTTGCCATGTACAGAGGTCTGACCGACCACAGGCACAGAGGGTTCACTTTCCTGGAGCTACTCACCATCTAAGAAAACGGCAATAACCACAGTTCACCTATGTCTTTACAGAATAACAGGGAGGGTCACTTGCCCAAGGTCATAAGACCCATAAATGGCAACGGCCTTCGAAGCCCAGCCATCAAGCCTGAGGTCTACTCCAGGCCCAGGTGGTCTCCAAGGCCTCAGTTCTGTTCAGTCATCTGTAAGAGAGCATGTGAGTTCTTTCAGGTTGGGACCCCTCACGTTTTCTGGTGGAAAGATGCTCAAAGCACCACCCTCTCAGAGATCAACACTCCCGGGGGTAAGCAGTCCACTGTGAAGGCTCTTTCTGCCACTGGCCCAAATCAAGGAGGCTGAACCATCTGCCTGAGCTACTCGGTTCCCACTCCACTCCCTGCAGTGGAGAGGAATAAGGGTAGGTGTCTCCTGAAACCCTCCTTTGTAAGAATTGGTGATTTAGTTCTTCTGTTATGCCGATATTTTTTTTACATTTAAATTTTTTAAAATGTTTTTTATTTGTTTTTGAGAGAGAGAGAGAGAGAGAGAGAGAGAGAGAGACAGCATGAGCAGGGGAGGGTGGGGGGGGGGGAGGGACATAGAATCTGAAGCAGGCTCCAGGCTCTGAGCTAGCTGTCAGCACAGAGCCCAACGCAGGGCTTGAACCCTTGAACCATGAGATCATGACCTGAGCTGAAGTCGGACGCCTCACCGACTGAGCCACCCAGGCGCCCCCCGTTATGCTGATTAAACCTTTTGCTTTCTGAGGTGACATTTGCCAATGGACACTTGGCAGACAACTACAAGAATGCAGGCAAGTCAGGCCGTGAGCGTTCAAGTTTAGATCACATTAGTAGAGTGTTCCATCTATGACCTGGAGGTCAGTTAAACACAGCTGCTTAACCCTACCAAGGACTTTGTTACCAACAGACAAGTTTTGCTCCTGGATTATCTTCCTGACATTTGGAACCAGTTGAAAACTCCATTACTAATGAATCAATCTTTGTTAACAAGTGAAGTCAGTGGTTCCAGAGGCTTTTGATACATCTAGAAATAAATGGCTTTTATCCACAGCATTGCGGTTACCGGCATAAAAATAAAATCTCCTCTTAGAGTCTTTGGAGGAGACAACTTTCCTCATATGCTGGTCCATACTTAAAGTACCAAACTCGTTATCTTCCTTCATAAATTTATCAAATTTTTTCTGTGCACATTTACTCTGCAATTCTAAAAAATGAAGTGTTTATTCTTTATGGCTCTTGCTTAAAAATCTATAAATAGTAATTTTGCAAGATTCAGCCATTCAGATGTTTAAGAAACACCCACTATGTGCCAGACCCTGCGTTAAAGGAATACAAAGAAGAATAAAATATATTACCTGTGAGTCATACTAATTATCAGTTGAGGCGTGGGGAGTGGACGAAGGGAGAGACGATACAAGAAAG